CTGCTATGATAACTTGGTAAAATCAACCTTTTGAAGCAAACAAAGCCTCGCGCCAAATCATTTTTTTGTTGTAGATCTGAACGAAGAGTGTACTATAACCTTAAGAGTATAGCTTTTTTATTATCTCATTTTTGATGGTGGGTCATACTCATGAAGATATTGATCAGGTATAATCTTATCTTTAATGTTATTTTCAGTTCGAACTTTACTGAATGCTGCGATATTTCTTTCATAGTTAATGGTTACATCAGGCAAAATTGGCTTGACGGTCCATGTAATTTTCACTGGAGACTTTCTATAAAATATGTAGCAATGGTGATGTGATTAATTCAGCCAAATTTCACTTAGAAATATTATCATATACATAGTACATTCATTGATTCATTCAGGACATCTGTTTTTAGTTGACAGGCACCAAAAGCTTAAGCCCCAAAGCTTTTGGAAATTCGCCCCTGTTCCATTAGTTTGTTACCTAGGATTCATGGCTTTTTGTCAGATTGAATTGAAATAATACTCCATTAAGGTGAAATTATTAATATAAATAATTTTTTTTCAGTTGTTCAGCCGAATTGCATTTTAATGGAGGAAGCATAGCGCAGCCACAATTCCAGCATTAATGCAACAAATTGACATATCCTATGATCACCCACACAACACTGAACGACTAAGTTATATGTTTGACATCAAAACTTGGTTGATCCCATTCATTAGTCATCTCGAACAGCACAGCAGGCCACATGCATTTAAATTTCAGCTTTCCGACGATGGTAGCGAAGTTTATATGTGGTATCGTCACTGGTCATCAGAAGGAGATTGGGTCGGCGACTCAGACGGCAAGCCTTTCCATGTTTTGTCCGGATATCCAAACAGAGAACCAACTTTACTGAGAGCAACATATGCCTCTCAAAATCCAATGGAGGCAATAGAAAACGGTGTAAGATATTGCGACTAACGGTTCACAGCAGCAGAACGTTAGTGGTGGCGAGAGTTTCTTGTGGAAGAGAAAAACAATCTGGCGTGTTGGAATGATATTTCCGAAGAGGAGTTGCAAAATGGTGGAGGTCTTGGGTGGTATCTCCACAAACTGGAAGAATACGAAAAACTGGCAGTCCCTATCTTTCGAGAATCTCAAGACGTTGAGAAAAAGTTAAATGCAGTCCAAGAACGTATTGCCAAAAGTCAAAAGTTTAAGACGGTAAGTTTCAATAATATATTCCAAAGCCTTGTTACAAGGGAGGGAAGAGCACCAGAGGCAAATATCTCCAACAAAGAGGTTAAGAGCTTCGGGGGAGTGCCCCTTACGTAGGATATCTTTTCCTCTCTTTCTGTGCCCCTCCTAATTACTAGCACTTCAAACAATTGGTCACTTTTTGGTTACCAAACAAGTAATTTCAGATCTTAAAAAACTGCATAGAAATTTCCTAGGTATCAGAGCCACAAAATTTTGAGTGCGTAAATAGAAAACCAAGCGGAACGTCTTTCTTTTTTCTGTCAGACAGACACTGCTACGCTTCTCTAATTCTGAGTCCTGTTGCCGCACTCAAATTTATGTGGCCCTGGTAGTCAGAGTAGTAGTAGAAATGCTGCCCGATTGTAGTCACTAGAGGTTACTAAGGCTCCCTTTACACTATGCCGGAACGAAATGAAAACGGTACGAAACGTTTTAGTGTAAACACCTGAAAACGGTACGATTTCATACCAGATTCTCATAGAGGCTAGCTTTTTATCCAAAGTGAGGCCATTTCAAAAGTGCTAACATAACAAATTCCAAGCGGCGCCAAAGCCGACTTAACATTCTCGATTTATTAAATTCTACAAAGTTTTCCTGCGTTCATCCGTCATCAGTAAGCTGGTAATATATTCATCATCGACATGCCTCCAGAAAGAAAAGGCGTATCTCCAGAAGAGAAGAATAGTTTGTTTAGTTGGAGCGATGAGGAGATACAACTTCTGCTTGAAGTAATACTTCATTATAAGGCCGACAAGGCTGGTCAAGGATTTGATTGGGAGTGTATCAAGACGAAGTACACCGAAATTGGAGAAATCTTTCTCGAACGATATCCAAAAGACGCCAAAAGTGAAGGACTTTGTTGTGAAAGCCCAGCAGCCGAATCAGTTGTTGGGGGTATAGACACAAGCTCGTTCGATTCATCGTCCCCCATCAACGATCAACCATCTGGCAACAATACTACAGGGAATGATGGTGATATTAAATGTTCCCAAAGTAGTAACGGATTTGATTTGGACAAGAACCCTTGCCTAAGAGGAGTATGATTGAACATTTGAAAGAGACTCGAAATTCGAAATTGAGAAAGCCCTTATCGCATGAGAAGCAAATGCTGCAGTTGGCTAAAGATGACATGTCTTTTAAAAAGCAAATGCTTGCGGAGATGAAGGAAATAAATCAATCTAATGCAGCACAAATGAATATTTGAACAAATTCTCTTGTCAATCTCACAAATGCCCTAACTGCAGCACTAAGTCAGCCACACTATATACCTCAGCCAGCCTTCAACCAGCTGCAACAAGTGCAATACACCCCTGCACAAGGTGGTAGCCAAGGCGTTCTGGATCAGATTAAAAGTGCCAACCAAAGACCGTATCAGGAAGTAAGAAGAACACATATTGCAGATTTTGAAGAATCTGATGATGAAATCACTTATGTCAACTTATAAGCAAAAATATTAGACAGTGTTGAAGTTTCATGTTAAAGCTCAAACTTATAATTGTTTGTTAGCATGATATCATTAGTCAAAATACTTAACAAAAATGTCTCTTATTTTTTTCCCATCAGTTTCCACAGCACTATTGTTGTTTCTATGTGTTGTAAAAGGAGGCTGAGCATTTTTATCAACCTCCTTTGACCTTTGAACCAAACTTTCAGGAATGGGCTCATTCTTCAGTTCACATATATTATGTAATATGAAGCAAGCATGAATAAAATAGGGGACTGATTCCAACTTGATATCTAATGGCCTCCTTAATGCACTGAACCGTCCTTTCAATCTGCCAAATGCACATTCAATTGTCATCCGTGCTGATGACAATCGATAGCTAAAAAATTGCTCATGGACTGTTTTCGCACCAGATGGGAATTCTTTCATTAAGAAAGGCAGTATCGGGTAAGCTGCATCACCTATTAGGCAAACTGGTACTTTCTTGGAATCTGGAACAATTTCCTTTTCTTGGGTTGGTATTTTCCCTGAGCGAAGACAATGACTTATGCTGGAATTTCCAAAAACTCTTGCATCATGGACTGAGCCAGGCCACTGAATGACAACATCTATGAAGAGATATTGATAATTGCAGACAGCCTGAACATTGAATGAGTATCTACCCTTGCGGTTTAAAAAATCTGTATAGTTGTCATTCGGCTGATTGATTTCAATGTGAGTTCCGTCCACTGCTCCAATGCATTGTGGAAATCCGTGGTTTTTGAGAAATTTTTTGGTATGGTGTTCAACTTCTGCTTGAGTAACTGGCAATTTGATATATTTTGATCCAAGATGCTGTGATATAGCCTTGGTTACTCTGCGTATCACCATTGAAACAGTAGATCTAGCTACTCCAAACGAATTTGCTACCTTCCTGTACCGCCCTTTATCTGACATGTAATAAAGAGTCATAGCAACTTGGGTTTCCACATCATTAGATTCTCTTAAGTGTGTCCTCTGCTTTTGAATATATGGCCTTAATTCATCGCAAAGTTCAGTGAATGTCTCTCTGGACATTCTGAAGTTTTCCCTCCATTCTTCTTTCACCATCACATTTTCCTTGAAGTTATTCCACCAAACTTGCGTTCTGCCCCGCCTTACCCAGAACCTTCGTGGTTTTCTTTTCCGTTTGCATGTCTTGCTAGTCATAGGTTTGCCAGCGTGACTGCTTGATAGTATCAGTTCACAAATCTTCTGCATATTCTGTGCATATAATGTCAACTGACGACAGATTAAGCCAAGATTGAACTGCAAAGCCCCAATTAAAAGAGCGACGGTTTTTTGATTAACTGGCATTTCTACTGATGATTGGTGAACTCAGGAAAACTTTGTAGAATTTAATAAATCGAGAATGTTTAGTCCGCTTTGGGGCCGCTTGGACTTTGTTATGTTAGCACTTTTGAAATGGCCTCACTTTGGATAAAAAGCTAGCCTCTATGAGAATCTGGTATGAAATCGTACCGTTTTCAGGTGTTTACACTAAAACGTTTTGTACCGTTTTCATTTCGTTCCGTTTTCAAAATCGTTTTCGTTTTATACCAGATACGATCCCGTTTCAGTGTAAACAGAAGGCCAAAACAGCACGTTTTCATACCGTTTTCATTTCGTACCGGCATAGTGTAAACAGGGCCTAAGTATACATAAATTAATAAGTGTAATGCTATATGACAGCAAATGCAAAAGGCACATTATGACTGATGTTGCTTACAATGAGTTACTTCTTTTCCCTCATAGATTTTGCTGTTATCTGATTTCAGGTAACTTACAAGAGGTAAATGTGGCTGCAAGGTTTTTGGAAAGATGAATCAAGTCCCATATGATATACCAGGAACACTAGTGTAAAAAATCGCAGGATTATTTTATGCAATCATTAATCTTTTAGTCTTCGCTGTAAAAAAGTAAAGGAACATTTGGATGACAAGGAAATCGTTTGCGGGGGATCAGGATTTTTTGTCGGTGTGGGTATAAATTATGAAAATATTAAAAATTAGACATTTAAAAGTTTACAGTAGTCGATTCATCAAAAGTTAAAAAGTTCGTCAGATTATATCCATGGCTCTAATTTGAAAATGGAAACCGGGGTTGCTTGAGTAGATGCTTTCTCAATGCATGGACTTTTTTATTATTCAGAACTGGTTGTTTCTTCCAATAATTTTAAAGCAAAGATGAGCACATTCAGTGGGAAGAAATCAAATGTTAAAATAATTTTGTGAGTTAAATTCAAAAGTTAGTTCCTTTTGGATTCGCGAATCAATTGGACACATTTATTTATTGATTTAAACATAACCGTGTATCAGATTAATTATTTATCAACACTTCGCAGATGCCTTTCTATCAGACCATCTAATAGAATGTGTGAGAAGGAAGAACATCTAATAGAAGTTTGTAATTTCCTGATCAATGAAATGTTTTGATATTTATTTCCCAAAACATCTTTTAACAATTGACTATTCACACATTCAACCTATTCACATGGTAGCCTATTTTAGTCATTATATTTATCATATTTAATAAGATCGAAGATAAGATAAGATTCAATTGCTCCTTATTTTAAAAATATAAAATAACAATAAGAAAATAACAATTATTATTATTAATAACAAGTTTTTTCATATTGGTCAGCACTCGTTTCTTGCAGTAGATTTCTTATATAACAAATAAGTGTAATAATATTCTTAAATGGAAAAAATCAAACCCAAAAATTTATACGTAAAAAGTATGCTAAAAAAATAGAAGAAATGAATTTGCATAGGTACATATTTCATTGGGAACTTTGAAAACATTTTCCAGAGGAGCATGACAAAAAATAGTTTTAGAAAGGAAAAACAGAAAAAATCACGATCCCTTCAGACGACCCGTGGTCCCGCAATGCAGCCATGCTGATATCCAAGTGCACTATTTTGTATCCAAGTGCACTTTTTTGTATCCAAGTGCCCTTTATTATGAATCCAAGTGCCCTTCATGGTATCCAAGCGCTGAAATCATATCTAAGTGCAGACCACTTGCAGCGATATGAGAAAGGTCGATGTGAAAATATGATTCCTGGGTCACACAATGGATTTAAACAAAATGTAAACATATGCTAGCGGGTATCCAACCGTTTTGGCGGGAAAGTTCTCAGCATTCACTCTTGTTAAGAGAGGGAGAAGGTTATCAAGCACGTTCACGATGGGCTCGTTTGAAATTTTGGGAAGTAGAGAGGAGAATGAAGTAAAAGAAAATACGAAGCAGGAAAGCAAAACATTGGCAGAGAGTAAAACAAGCTGTAAAGAAATGTCATGCCATGTCATGTCAAGAAAAGAGAGGCAAGTCATTTCATTTTCCAGAACCTGTTATTATGCAACGTACCTTTAAAAAAAATAACAACGCAATTAATAATAATTATCAGAACTTTAGTTTGAAATACACTATGCATTTAATCAATATTTTATCAAGAAAGTTAAAATCAGTTTTTGATGATTGTATATATTTATTTCTGTAAATGTAGCTGGAATTAGACGTGTATGGTGAATATGAGGGTAAAAGACATAGACCATTCTGCGACATTGGCAACAACGTAAGATTTCATTCTCTTTTATCTATTTTCGCAATTTCACAGAAGAAAACTCATAACAACGTTTCTTTTGAGTCATACTATTTACATTTGCAAAAATTATAATATCATCTAGCAAGTAGTAGTATAATAGAGCAATGATGAACAGAATCTGCTAGTTTTGTTTCCCACTCCTTCAATTATTCCAAAATTGTCAAACTTATTTTTTAAAGATAATTCTTGGTGAGAAATGCAAAAGATCGTGCAACAAAAATGTTTCTTCGGACCTAATACAATTCGTGCAAAAAAAACATCAAGAAATGTCAACATCTGATGCTGTATGCTACAGAGAGAGATGCCTTGTAAAAATGAATATAAACTCCATGTATGAAGCTTGGAAACAGTTTCGAGAATTTTCTGGGGAGAAGCAGAGGGAGAGAATTTTACACGTCTTCAGTACAATGGCAACGACAGGAAACTGGGCTTTTTTCATTGGAACCAATAAGATTTTTCGCAAAGCTTGGCAGTTCATTCATGGAATTTCCAATCATAGGTAGAAGCCTACAGTTTTTTTGAAATAACAAAGATCGGTTAATCAAAATCACGTTAATTTCTTCCTAATTTTCATGAACCTTTTCAAGTTACTGAAAATAGTCAAATTTTACGATTCTACCTGAAAAAAATTAGTTTCTCTGAAGAAAATGAAGCTAATAGAATGCGCTCAAAACGGAAGGACCAGAAAGTGTTCTTTTAGCAAGTTCCTGTAAAGATAGAACAATATTTTATAGTTTTAAGGTTTGTAAACAGTTTTATAATTAAAAAAAAACTACAAAATGTGTATTTTGAATTCGAGAATAGGTTAACAAAGCTAGTTGCATTGATTCCTTCTGAGTGCGTAAACAGAGTTCCAAGCAGAGAAGCGGAGAAGGTCTAGCTCCTACCTTCTAGCCTTCGACTTATGTGGCTCTGGTACCCAGGGTATATTGATTCTAGATTCTGATTTTAATGGCATGACTTTTTTCAATTTTTCAGGTTCTACTCTTTGAAGCAGGATTTTGAAATTCACGGTAGAGTTGACGAGAGAAGCGAGAAGCATGGAACTAAACGGGAAACCAAAAAAGTGGCACAAGCGATGAACTGGTTTGAGAAGTTTATAGATGAAAGTGGGGACCGAGCTCCGGATGAAGAGAAGATGTTTTTGCCGACTTGCTACACGAAGGAAGACATTTATTTCAGCTATGTTGCTCAGATGCATTCGGATGGTTTCGGGGACTCAACGCAAATAGTTGGCAAATCCTGTTTTTTTTAATCTTAGCAACTTGTGGAAGCACCCTCAAAATGTTGAAATTTATGTTCATACTACAATTGAGAAGCAATTACTCTTCCATCGAAGCTAAAGGGTTTTTATGCAGAATCTTTAGGCATGAGCCTTCCCCCTTTTCAACTGGTTTCAGAGCTTCGGGCATTTATGATGCCTTTTTCCTTTTTAGAGAAACCAATTCACGAAATGTGGAATATGCACATTAATCAAAGAACTGAAAAAGGAATGTTCATCCTTACGAGAGAAGACGTCAAAAGTCTTAAGGAGAGTCACAATGACCTTCAAAGGGATGTTCTAAAAATTATAAAAAGCTGCTATGATAACTTGGTAAAATCAACCTTCTGAAGCAAACAAAGCCTCACGCCAAATCATTTTTTTGGTGTAGATCTGAACGAAGAGTGTACTATAACCTTAAGAGTTTAGCTTTTTTATTATCTCATTTTTGATGGTGGGTCATACTCATGAAGATATTGATCAGGTATAATCTTATCTTTAATGTTATTTTCAGTTCGAACTTTACTGAATGCTGCCATATTTCTTTCATAGTTAATGGTTACATCAGACAAAATTGGCTTGACGGCCCATGTAAATTTCACTGGACACTTTCTATAAAATATGTAGCAATGGTGATGTGATTAATTTAGCCAAATTTTACTTAGAAATATTATCATATACATAGTACATTCAAACATATGCCTCTCAAAATCCAATGGAGGCAATAGAAAATGGTGTAAGATATTGCAACGAACGGTTCACAGCAGCAGAACATTAGTGGTGGCGAGAGTTTCTTGTGGAAGAGAAAAACAATCTGGCGTGTTGGAATGATATTTCCGAAGAGGAGTTGCAAAATGGTGGAGGTCTTGGGTGGTATCTCCACAAACTGGAAGAATACGAAAAACTGGCAGTCCCTATCTTTCGAGAATCTCAAGACGTTGAGAAAAAGTTAAATGCAGTCCAAGAACGTATTGCCAAAAGTCAAAAGTTCAAGACGGTAAGTTTCAATAATATATTCCAAAGCCTTGTTACAAGGGAGGGAAGAGCACCAGAGGCACATATCTCCAACAAAGAGGTTAAGAGCTTCGGGGGAGTGCCCCTTACGTAGGATATCTTTCCCTCTCTTTCTGTGCCCCTCCTAATTACTAGCGCTTCAAACAATTGGTCACTTTTTGCTTACCAAACAAGTAATTTCAGATCTTAAAAAACTGCATAGAAATTTCCTAGGTATCAGAGCTACAAAATTGTGAGTGTGTAAATAGAAAACCAAGCAGAAAGTCTTTCTTTTTTCTGTCAGACAGACACTGCTACGCTTGTAGTCACTAGAGGTTACTAAGGCCCCGTTTACACTATGCCGGTACGAAATGAAAACGGTATGAAAATGTGCCGTTTTGGCCTTCCGTTTACACTGAAACGGGATCGTATCTGGTATAAAACGAAAACGATTTTGAAAACAGAACGAAATGAAAACGGTACGAAACGTTTTAGTGTAAACACCTGAAAACGGTACGATTTCATACCAGATTCTCATAGAGGCTAGCTATTTATCCAAAGTGAGGCCATTTCAAAAGTGCTAACATAACAAAGTCCAAGTGGCGCCAAAGCGGACTAAACATTCTCGATTTATTAAATTCTACAAAGTTTTCCTGCGTTCATCCGTCATCAGTAAGCTGGTAATATATTCATCATCGACATGCCTCCAAAAAGAAAAGGCGTATCTCCAGAAGAGAAGAATAGTTTGTTTAGTTGGAGCGATGAGGAGATACAACTTCTGCTTGAAGTAATACTTCATTATAAGACCGACAAGGCTGGTCAAGGATTTGATTGGGAGTGTATCAAGACGAAGTACACCGAAATTCGAGTAATCTTTCTCGAACGATATCCAAAAGACGGCAAAAGTGAAGGACTTGTTGTGAAAGCCCAGCAGCTTCTTTCACCAAAGACAGGCTACTTGCTAAAATAAAAGCATTAAGGAATAAATTCAAAATTGCATTGGATTCAGGAAGGAAAAGTGGTGGAGGACGCGTTGTTTGTCAATTTTATAATTTGTGTTCAGATATTTGGGCTGGGTGGCCAGCAGCCGAATCAGTTGTTGGGGGTATAGACACAAGCTCGTTCGATTCATCGTCCCCCATCAACGATCAACCATCTGGCAACAATACTACAGGGAATGATGGTGATATTGAATGTTCCCAAAGTAGTAACGGATTTAATTTGGACAAGAACCCTTGCATAAGAGGAGTATGATTGAACATTTGAAAGAGACTCGAAATTCTAAATTGAGAAAGCCCTTATCGCATGAGAAGCAAATGCTGCAGTTGGCTAAAGATGACATGTCTTTTAAAAAGCAAATGCTTGCAGAGATGAAGGAAATAAATCAATCTAATGCAGCACAAATGAATATTTTAACAAATTCTCTTGTCAATCTCACAAATGCCCTAACTGCAGCACTAAGTCAGCCACACTATATACCTCAGCCAGCCTTCAACCAGCTGCAACAAGTGCAATACACCCCTGCACAAGGTGGTAGCCAAGGCGTTCTGGATCAGATTAAAAGTGCCAACCAAAGACCGTATCAGGAAGTAAGAAGAACACATATTGCAGATTTTGAAGAATCTGATGATGAAATCACTTATATCGACTTATAAGCAAAAATATTAGACAGTGTTAAAGTTTCATGTTTCATGTTAAAGCTCAAACTTATAATTGGTTGTTAGCATGATATCATTAGTCAAAATACTTAACAAAAATGTCTCTTATTTTTTCCCATCAGTTTCCACAGCACTATTGTTGTTTCTATGTGTTGTTAAAGGAGGCTGAGCATTTTTATCAACCTCCTTTGACCTTTGAACCAAACTTTCATGAATGGGCTCATTCTTCAGTTCACATATATTATGTAATATGAAGCAAGCATGAATAAAATAGGGGACTGATTCCAACTTGATATCTAATGGCCTCCTCAATGCACTGAACCGTCCTTTCAATCTGCCAAATGCACATTCAATTGTCATCCGTGCTGATGACAATCGATAGCTAAAAAATTGCTCATGGACTGTTTTCCCACCAGATGGGAATTCTTTCATTAAGAAAGGCAGTATCGGGTAAGCTGCATCACCTATTAGGCAAACTGGTACTTTCTTGGAATCTGGAACAATTTCCTTTTCTTGGGTTGGTATTTTCCCTGAGCGAAGACAATGACTTATGCTGGAATTTCCAAAAACTCTTGAATCATGGACTGAGCCAGGCCACTGAATGACAACATCTATGAAGAGATATTGATAATTGCAGACAGCCTGAACATTGAATGAGTATCTACCCTTGCGGTTTAAAAAATCTGTATAGTTGTCATTCGGCTGATTGATTTCAATGTGAGTTCCGTCCACTGCTCCAATGCATTGTGGAAATCTGTGGTTTTCGAGAAATTTTTTGGTATGGTGTTCAACTTCTGCTTGAGTAACTGGCAATTTGATATATTTTGATCCAAGATGCTGTGATATAGCCTTGGTTACTCTGCGTATCACCATTGAAACAGTAGATCTAGCTACTCCAAACGAATTTGCTACCTTCCTGTACCGCCCTTTATCTGACATGTAATAAAGAGTCATAGCAACTTGGGTTTCCACATCATTAGATTCTCTTAAGTGTGTCCTCTGCTTTTGAATATATGGCCTTAATTCATCGCAAAGTTCAGTGAATGTCTCTCTGGACATTCTGAAGTTTTCCCTCCATTCTTCTTTCACCATCACATTTTCCTTGAAGTTATTCCACCAAACTTGCGTTCTGCCCCGCCTTACCCAGAACCTTCGTGGTTTTCTTTTCCGTTTGCATGTCTTGCTAGTCATAGGTTTGCCAGCGTGACTGCTTGATAGTATCAGTTCACAAATCTTCTGCATATTCTGTGCATATAATGTCAACTGACGACAGATTAAGCCAAGATTGAACTGCAAAGCCCCAATTAAAAGAGCGACGGTTTTTCGATTAACTGGCATTTCTACTGATGATTGGTGAACTCAGGAAAACTTTGTAGAATTTAATAAATCGAGAATGTTTAGTCCGCTTTGGGGCCGCTTGGACTTTGTTATGTTAGCACTTTTGAAATGGCCTCACTTTGGATAAAAAGCTAGCCTCTATGAGAATCTGGTATGAAATCGTACCGTTTTCAGGTGTTTACACTAAAACGTTTTGTACCGTTTTCATTTCGTTCCGTTTTCAAAATCGTTTTCGTTTTATACCAGATACGATCCCGTTTCAGTGTAAACGGAAGGCCAAAACAGCACGTTTTCATACCGTTTTCATTTCGTACCGGCATAGTGTAAACGGGGCCTAAGTATACATAAATTAATAAGTGTAATGCTATATGACAGCAAATGCAAAAGGCACATTATGACTGATGTTGCTTACAATGAGTTACTTCTTTTCCCTCATAGATTTTGCTGTTATCTGATTTCAGGTAACTTACAAGAGGTAAATGTGGCTGCAAGGTTTTTGGAAAGATGAATCAAGTCCCATATGATATACCAGGAACACTAGTGTAAAAAATCGCAGGATTATTTTATGCAATCATTAATCTTTTAGTCTTCGCTGTAAAAAAATAAAGGAACATTTGGATGACAAGGAAATCGTTTGCGGGGGATCAGGATTTTTTGTCGGTGTGGATATAAATTATGAAAATATTAAAAATTAGACATTTAAAAGTTTACAGTAGTCGATTCATCAAAAGTTAAAAAGTTCGTCAGATTATATCCATTGCTCTAATTTGAAAATGGAAACCGGGGTTGCTTGAGTAGATGCTTTCTCAATGCATGGACTTTTTTATTATTCAGAACTGGTTGTTTCTTCCAATAATTTTAAAGCAAAGATGAGCACATTCAGTGGGAAGAAATCAAATGTTAAAATAATTTTGTGAGTTAAATTCAAAAGTTAGTTCCTTTTGGATTCGCGAATCAATTGAACACATTTATTTCTTGATTTAAACATAACCGTGTATCAGATTAATTATTTATCAACACTTCGCAGATGCCTTTCTATCAGACCATCTAATAGAATGTGTGAGAAGGAAGAACATCTAATAGAAGTTTGTAATTTTCTGATCAATGAAATGTTTTGATATTTATTTCCCAAAACATCTTTTAACAATTGACTATTCACACATTCAACCTATTCACATGGTAGCCTATTTTAGTCATTATATTTATCATATTTAATAAGATCGAAGATAAGATAAGATTCAATTGCTCCTTATTTTAAAAATATAAAATAACAATAAGAAAATAACAATTATTATTATTAATAACAAGTTTTTTCATATTGGTCAGCACTCGTTTCTTGCAGTAGATTTCTTATATAACAAATAAGTGTAATAATATTCTTAAATGGAAAAAATCAAACCCAAAAATTTATTCGTAAAAAGTATGCTAAAAAAATAGAAGAAATGAATTTGCATAGGTGCATATTTCATAGGGAACTTTGAAAACATTTTCCAGAGGAGCATGACAAAAAATAGTTTTAGAAAAGAGAAACAGAAAAAATCATGATCCTTCATACAGCCTGTGGTCCCGCAATGCAGCCATGCTGATATCCAAGTGCACTATTTTGTATCCAAGTGCACTTTTTTGTATCCAAGTGCCCTTTATTATGAATCCAAGTGCCCTTCATGGTATCCAAGCGCTGAAATCATATCTAAGTGCAGACCACTTGCAGCGATATGAGAAAGGTCGATGTGAAAATATGATTCCTGGGTCACACAATGGATTTAAACAAAATGTAAACATGTGCTAGCGGGTATCCAACCGTTTTGGCAGGAAAGTTCTTAGCATTCACTCTTGTTAAGAGAGGGAGAGGTTATCAAGCACGTTCACGATGGGCTCGTTTGAAATTTTGGAAACTAGAGAGGAGAATGACGTAAAAGAAAATACGAAGCAAGAAAGCAAAACATTGGCAGAGAGTAAAACAAGCTGTGAAGAAATAGAGGCAAGTCATTTCATTTTCCAGAACCTGTTATTATGCAACGTACCTTTAAAAAAAATAACAACGCAATTAATAATAATTATCAGAACTTTAGTTTGAAATACACTATGCATTTAATCAATATTTAATCAAGAAAGTTAAAATCAGTTTTTGATGATTGTATATATTTATTTCTGTAAATGTAGGTGGAATTAGACGCGTATGGTGAATATGAGGGTAAAAGATGTAGACCATTCGGCGACATTGGCAACAACGTAAGATGTCATTCTCTTTTATCTATTTTCGCAATTTCACAACGTTACTTTTGGGTCATACTATTTACCTTTGCAAAAATTATAATATCATCTAGCAAGTAGTAGTATAGTAGAGCAATGATGAACAGAATCTGCTAGTTTTGTTTCCCATTCCTACAATTATTCAAAAATTGTCAAACTTATTTTTTAAAGATAATTCTTGGTGAGAAATGCAAAAGATCGTGCAACAAAAATGTTTCTTCGGACCTAATACAATTCGTGCAAAAAAAACATCAAGATATGTCAACATCTGATGCTGTATGCTGCAGAGAGAGATGCCTTGTAAAAATGAATATAAACTCCATGTATGAAGCACGGAAACAGTTTCGAGAATTTGCTTGGGTGAAGCAGAGGGAGAGAATTTTACACATCTTCAGTACAATGCCAACGACAGGAAACTGGGCTTTTTTCATTGGAACCAATAAGATTTGTCGCAAAACTTGGCAGTTCATTCATGGAATTTCCAATCATAGGTAGGAGCCTACAGTTTTTTTGCAATAACAAAGATCGGTTAATCTAAATCGCATTAATTTCTTGCTAGTTTTTATGAACCTTTTCAAGTTACTGAAAATAGTCAAATTTTACGATTGTACCTGAAAAAAATTAGTTTCTCTGAAAAAATGAAGCTAATAGAATGCGCCCAAATTGGAAGGACCGGAAAGAGTTCTTTTAGCAAGTTCCTGTAAAGATAAAACAATATTTTATAGTTTTAAGGTTTTATAATTATAATTAATTAAAAAATTTATAGTTAAAAAAAAACTACAAAATGTGTATTTTGAATTCGAGAATAGGTTAACAAAGCTGGTTGCATTGATTCTTTCCGAGGGCGTAAACAGAATTCCAAGCAGAGAAGCCGAGAAGGTCTAGCTCCTAGCTTCTGACTTGTATGGCTCTGGTACCCAGGGTATATTGATTCTAGATTCTGATTTTAATGGCATGACTTTTTTCAATTTTTCAGGTTCTACTCTTTGAAGCAGGATTTTGAAATTTATGGTAGAGTTGACGGGAGAAGCGAGAAGCATGGAACTAAACAGGAAACCAAAAAAGTGGCACAAGCGATGAACTGGTTTGAGAAGTTTATAGATGAAAGTGGGGACCGAGCTTCGGATAAAGAGATGTTTTTGCCGACTTGCTACATGAAGGAAGACATTTATTTCAGCTATGTTGCTCAGATGCATTCGAATGGTTTCGGGGACTCAACGCAAATAGTTGGCAATTCCTGTTTTTTTTTAATTTTAGCAACTTGAGGAAGCACAATCAAAATGTTGAAATTTATGTTCATACTACAATTGAGAAGCAATTAATCTTCCATCGAAGATAAAGGGTTTTTACGCAGAATCTTTTGGCATGAGCCTTCCCCCTTTTCAACTGGTTTCAGAGCTCCGGGCATTTATGATGCCTTTTTCCTTTTTAGAGAAACAAATTCACGAAATGTGGAATATGCACATTAATCAAAGAACTGAAAAAGGAATGTTCATCCTCCCTTACGAGAGAAGATGTCAAAAGTCTTAAGGAGAGTCACAATGACCTTCAAAGGTATGTTCTAAAAATCATAAAATGCTGCTATGATAACTTGGTAACTTAATCAACCTTCTGAAGCAAAGAAAGCCTCAAGCCAAATCATTTATTTGGTGAAGATCTGAACGAAGAGTGTACTATAGCCACCGAGACAAGGCAAAAGCAAACCCAGCAAAATACTTGTCCATGATAATTGACGTAATGGGCCAATTGAAAACAAACATTCCTCACTACATCACTGATGCAAAGGTAATAGCCTTTTTGTATGGAACGCCATGACTGCCTTATGTTTTGCACTCAAATTGTGTTGTGTCACCTAATCATTGCCTTCTGTCACATTCTCATAGGACTATGACAATTAATCATTCAATTAGGTCATCATAGGAGTTCTCTGTTTGCATTTCATAGACCACCATGTGCTCCTTTCGTCCTGTGCTGTTATTTTGAGCAACGATAATGTCTACTCTATGTTACGTTATGTCATTGTAGCATCCAAGTGTGCCTAAGAACCATTGCTTTATGTTGCAGTATCAATGAACTATTCTATTTAATCATTACATTATACTATTTCACCATTATACTACTTCATCATTACATTATACTATTTCACCATTACATTATACTATTTCACCATTATACTATTTCATCATTACATTATACTATTTCATCATTATACTACTTCATCATTACATTATACTATTTCACCATTATACTACTTCATCATTACATTATACTATTTCACCATTACATTTTACTATTTCATCATTATACTACTTCATAATTACATTATACTATTTCACCATTATACTATTTTACCTTTGCAACAAATAACTTTGGCGGGAAACGCACGTTTTCTAACAATCAAGATGGCGGACAATGCAGACTGTGCACGGCTCCAAGTTGCTCTTAGCAAAATTGGTCTTGGAGCTCTGATGGAAAGATTTAGAGCCGAAAGAGTGGATTTTCATACACTCATCTTGGCGACCATACATGGTGCATTTAACACGAAGGTCCATAATGGATTTCCGACTTGTGAGGTTTCCCAACAATATCTAGTGTGATTTTCTCTTGCGAAAATTTTTCTTTCAACTGTGGCAATCCCAGGTTGTCGAGGATGATACTCATGGGACATTCCGCCATCTTGATTGTTAGAAAACGTGCGTTTCCCGCCAAAGTTATTTGTTGCAAAGGTAAAATAGTATAATGATGAAATAGTATAATGTAATGATGAAATAGTATAATGGTGAAATAGTATAATGTAATGGTGAAATAGTATAATGTAATGATGAAGTAGTATAATGATGAAATAGTATAATGTAATGATGAAATAGTATAATGTAATGATGAAATAGTATAATGTAATGATGAAATAGTATAATGGTGAAATAGTATAATGTAATGGTGAAATAGTATAATGTAATGATGAAATAGTATAATGGTGAAATAGTATAATGTAATGGTGAAATAGTATAATGTAATGATGAAGTAGTATAATGGTGAAATAGTATAATGTAATGGTGAAATAGTATAATGTAATGGTGAAATAGTATAATGTAATGATGAAGTAGTATAATGGTGAAATAGTATAATGTAATGATTAAATAGAATAGTTCATTGATACTGCAACATAAAGCAATGGTTTTTGGGCACACTTGGATGCTACAATGACATAACGCAACATAGAGAAGACATGATCGTTGCTCAAAATAACAGCACAGGACGAAAGGAGCACATGGTGGTCTATGAAATGCAAACAAAGAACTCCTATGATGACCTAATTGAATGATTAATTGTCATAGTCCTATGAGAATGTGACAGAAGGCAATGATTAGGTGACACAACACAATTTTAGTGCATAACATAAGGCAGTCATGGCGTTCCATATTTTTGGAAATATTGCCTTTATTTGTCCTGCTGAAACTATTATGGGGTGTGAGATAGTTAAATAATGGGACCCTAATAATGTCAATAATATTTGACTGATGTTGCGGCTAACCATAGCCAGTTATGCGAAAACTATATTCGAAAACTCTTTTTGATTTAAACATAACAGCAGTAGAATTAGAACATATGTAGAAACTTTTTTGGATTTTGCTCATGTTGAGGCCTGGGGGAGTCAGCCCGAACCTCGCGGCAGGTCAGTATCTTTACTGTTAGCTTTATTTGTGGTCGTAGTGTTTAACATCATTCAACTTTTATAACTGATTTTGTATCATAAAT